GCCCGTAGTCCCAGCTACTTGATAGGCTGAGGTAAGAGAATCACTTAAGCCCAAGAGTTTGAGGTTGCTGTGAGCTGTGATGCCACGGAACTCAACTCAGGGTGACATAGAGAGACTCTGCCCAAAATAAACAAAGAAATGGGAAAGAAAAAGAAAATGGCTGAGTTGACACTTCTATTCCTGGTGGGAACATTAGGTCAGTACGAGATGAAATCATAAAACTATAATCTAATAAGATTGGCAAAAAATTGGCAAAAAAGAAAATTATCAGGCTTACTATTTGAAATATGGTTTTTATTCATCATGATGGTGAATCTTACCAACATTTCAGAGATTGTCTAATGGTCGTAGGGCATACATCTGACATGCTAAATACGTTTGTATAAATACATACACCAACTGTTAGGAGTGTGTGCTCAGAAATTGCCTTTCTGTGGATGAAGTGCATGATTTAAAAATATTTGGAGATCATGGATTTAGGATGCAACTCAGTACTAGACTGGGAAATCAGCGCAGTTTGCTGACTTGAAGCTTTAAACCTAAACTGTGGCTTTTATGCCTAATGCATTTGTCTTCTCTGCAGTAAGTAGGGAAAACATTTGTGTTTATGACGTGCAGGGTTTCCATTTTGTGCTTTCTGTGAACTGTGTTAGCAGACTTGCTAATTTCTAAGATGTGCTCCTGCTTTCTGCTTTCTGGGAATTAACATAGCTGACTTGGGTTCTCTGTGGGAGGAAAACACTGTTCTGTTTTCACAGATGGGCAGACTTGACCATGGAAAACTTTGGGTATCTTTACCCAAGGTAACAGATGAGAATGTGGCCTGCAGTCCTGCTGATGGCTGTTCCCTTCACAGCTCCCCTCATCCACAGCTAGTCAGAATGGATGAGAATTACTGTCGTCCCCCTGCGTTGATGTAATTCTTTTCATTTTTCAATATCTACTGACTTTAATCAAAGAAATTAGGAAGAGAATGTGTGATGATTCAGACATTCTTGTGGCTACTGAAGAACACTTCTTGCAACTTTTTGTCTGAGTCCTTTCTTTTGGTTTCTCTCTAGTCGGAGGAGAGCAGATAAGCGCCATTGGACGGGGCATCTGTGTGTTGCTGGGTATTTCCCTGGAAGATACGCAGAAGGAACTGGAGCACATGTAAGATGCGTGTTTCTAAGTCATTGCCGTTTGAATGTGTCATGGTTATGCTGGGAGCCTTCTTGTTATCCTGTGTTGTGGAGTAAGCCCCTGTCCTTTCTATCCATTGTCCCAGTGGAAGTGGTGTGGTTATCTCTGTTCTAGAAGAGAAGACCAAGAAAAATATGTCAAATCTCACCACGAAGCTGGCCGTGTCACACGGCACCACCTAGCCTCCTTCCTTATTTGCTGCTATAGCCTCTGACCATCCCTCTTGTTCTCTTAATGCAAAAACTGAGCTTCTTTTCTTTCTTTCTTTCTTTTTTGAGACAGGGCCTCAAGCTGTCCCCCTAGGTAGAGTGCCATGGCATCACAGCTCACAGCAACCTCCAACTCCTGGGCTCTAGTGAGTCTCCTGCCTCTGCCTCCCAAGTAGCTGGGACTACAGGCGTCCGCCACAACGCCTGGCTATTTTATGATTGCAGCCATCATTGTTGTTTGGTGGGCCCAGGCTGGATTCAAACCCACCAGCTAAGGTGTATGTGGCTGGTGCCTAAGCCGCTTAAGCCACAGGCGCCGAGCCCTTTTTTGTTTCAGTTGCCCTGAGCTTGAGTGGTATGGCATCAGAGCTCACAGCAACCTCAAACTCTGGGGCTTAAGCCATCCTTTGTCTCAGGCTCCCAAGTAGCTGGGACTACAGGCGCCCACCACAACACCTGGCTAGTTTTTCTATTTGTAGAAATGGCATCTCATCTTGCTTTGCTCTGGCTGGTCTCCAAGTCCTGAGCTCAAGCAATCCACTTGCCTAGGTCTCCCAGTGAGCTTCTTTTCTTATGTATGATTTTGGTATTTTAATTTGAGCAGTGTGATCTGGACACTATTTAGGCATTTTAAAAGTGCCTAGTTGTTCATTGTACACCTTAGAATTGGAACTCAGAGAGGTTAAATTCCTTGCCTCAGGTCAAGCGCACACACTTAGCAAAAAGTCTGAACCTAAATTAGCACTGGGCTACCTGACCTTGTAGATGATGCTCTTCTGATGAAGCCAGCCTCCTCACTTGCTCCCCTCTGCACTAGCACCACTTGGCACGTTTATTTCAGATGCTGGGATCCCTTTATTCTGCCTCTTGGTGCCCAGAACCTGGGGATAACTCTCCCCAATTGTGCCTTTTGCATTTGATCGAATTGAGACTTGGAACCTAATTCCTGCTAAGGTGTTGATTAATGGTAAGGATAGTTCAATACCATTTCAGTGATAGTGGTATTTTCATAGCTGTCCCCTGAATATCAAAGAGGCACTAGAATGGTTAAAAACTGGGGCTCTAGGTCTGAATCTCTTTATGGTTCTGACATAGGAGAGAGCTAATACTTAGCTTGGTGCTTAAGAGATGCAACTCGGGGCTCGGCGCCTGTGGCTCAAGCGGCTAAGGCGCCAGCCACATACACCTAAGGTGGC